ACTATTTTTAGCGGTTAATAGTATTACCCCCAGACTTGGGATGTGAACCGATCATGTATTGGGGGTCAGTTTACCAAAAGTTTATTTTAACTATATTTAACTATTTGAGACGTTAGTAACTATTTTAACTATTTTGTAAAATTGAGTGTATTTTAGCTTAAAAACAGAAATATTTGAGATAGAATAGAAACGAAAAGATATTTTCTCAATGGAAATAAATGTAAAATGTAAAGAAAGAGAAATATCACGACTATTGGTTTGTGTTTTATACTCAAAACATTGAAATTACCAAAAGTGTCGTAATTTTAAGAATGATCTGAGAAGATATCGCAGAGCACAACATGAATTCTTTGTTAAATTAGTTAAATTTAAGTAAATTAACTGAATTGATACTAGATTTAGTGTAATAAACATTAAAACTAACCAGTTATATCATTATAAAATGAATTTTAGGTTTATTTTAGCATTTTATATCTAACTATTTAAGTAACTATTTGAGGTGTTTTTCATAACTATTATAGTGACTATTTGGGGTCTTATAAACACCTATAATGCAATTCTCTGACCATAAGTAACGTAATCTTATATATTACTTAAAACTCATAAATTTATATTAATTGTGTTTAAAGATATTAGAAGTTAAACATTATGTTTCATAAATATAACTAATATATCGAAATACAGTAAACAAATTTTGTTGAACAGAATAACACTTTCATTCAATCTCTGGCCTCAACCGACAGATACATAGTTTTCGGTGCTTTCATAACGGGATGTGTTTTGATAATTGGCGGCACTTTTGTGTCCTTATGGACGGCGAACCGGAAGCGGCGCAACACGTGAACCAACGCCAGCTTTAGCTCCATTAAGGCGAACGCCATTCCCACACAAACGCGGGGACCGGTGCTGAACGGCATGAATGTATACGGCTTTATATTGTGACGATTTTCGGGCAAAAACCTGTCGGGAATAAACTGAAGGGCGTTCGGGAAGTACTCTTCCGAGTGATGGATGGCGTAGACTAGTATCTCAATCGGCTGTCCCTTCGGCACCACAATCCCGGTGTCACCCAAAGGGAACTCACGGCCGGGTATTCGCCGGTACTTAATGGGTCCGCCGTGAAGGCGTTGGGTTTCGCTGATCACAGCGTCCAGTAGTGGCAGTCGACACAACTCGTCGTAACCGATCTCCCCGTCGGCGTCCACAGCGGCGGCGATCTCTTCGTAAAGCCGGTGCTGAACGTCCGGATTGAGTGCCAACTCATAGACACAAAATGATAAGACATTTGAGATTTGGTCGAATGCCGTGAAGTATATGAAGAATCCCTGCGCGAGAATCTCCTCTTCAGTCAACTTCTTGTTGTCCGACATATTGTTGTCAAACGTTTTCTCTTTCATTTCTAGACTATTTTCTCCTAATTATTATTTATTTGTTAATTATTTTCAATAAAAAATAATAAAATATTTAAAAGATTAATCATGTACTTTATATAATATATATAATATACTTTACTTAAGGATTATCTTATAATAAATAATTAAACAAAATACTGTTAATGATAAGAAAATACTAATGTGCCAGGACTTGGGCACTTAAACTGTAAGATTTATACTACACTTACAATGTACAGACAATACTGTAAAATAAAAAGCATAACAGCACAAACAAAATGATATAAAATTAGCATATTAAAAAAATAGAAAAACTTAAATTATCACCTTGAGCATATTAAAAAACTAACCTTCAATATCATCATTAGGCTCGGGTTCGTTGGGACCGAGTTTTGATCGCATAAAGACTCCCAAAAAATCATTACTTTTTTCCACCAAACGTTCCCTCGCTTTCAACACACCCTTCAAATTATCGCATATATTATCGATAGTTTTCTCATTAAAAATAGACGTCAGGCCAAAAGCCTTCAACACCCGGCCAGACAGCACCTGTAGGGCCAACAACTTCCACACCGGGAGCACAATCAACGGCCACGCCGTGCGCACGAAGGGGTGTCGGGGCTGACTGTGGGGGTCAGTGACGATACCGAAAGCGCTGCGGTTTATAACGCTCAGCGAATAGCAGCCAAATGTACGCTTGAGTTCGCAGGGCTGGCCCTCCCGGGCGTACCCCTCCAACACACTGACCAACTGTTCGGTCACGCATTGCCTGACCAGAGGGTAGTGGCGACGCGTGCGAGCGGTGGTGAACGCCGGCTGTACGGCTGCCCGCATACGGCGCCACTGCTCGCCCCGCACTGACACCAGCATCCGGTCGATGATAGGGTGGCCAACGTTTGTGATACGGATTTTGGTGTTGAACAGCCGGAAATCCTCCACCAATACCTGTTTAATAATCTCCGGATCGCCCACTTGTATGATCGGTCGACTGCCCTCGAAAATGCTTGTGTAATACATCACGATTAGTTTTTTTGAACAAATAATATAATAGTTATACTAGAATTACACTAGTTATACATTTAGTTATACTAGAAATAATTATATTACAGTTTTTACAATTAAATATAAGAATTATCTTAAATTGTTAATATTGTAAATACTTTAAGGCCTAAGGTTTGGATAGTTTTGAAAGGAAGGAGTTTATTTTAATTTAAGGGCCCTCAGTATAATTTATTTAACTGATAAACAAGTACAGTTTATTTTGATTTAAGGTTTATTAAGTTGCGATAAGAATTTTAATAAAATAGTATAAATAGTTTTAAGTAAAATAATATTAAAACTATTGTGAATTACCCGTAAATTTTGCCATATTTGTGATAGCGTTGTATTTCTATATCAGGTTTCGATGTATACATCATATCCCATAGATTACCGAATATGACTACAGGTTTGGGCCCTTTTAGGCCTAAAGCATCGAAGTAACCAAAATTGCGGGTTAAATGTCTATAATTAAAGTAAAACATTCATCATTAAAGTGATTATAATTTTAATATTTATTAATCATAGTTTTAGCATAATAATATTGCATAAAGCATAAATAATTAATTAATTTAATACTTATAATATGCCAAAATTGCCACAAATATAACGGCAATGCCATAGAAGGGCCAGTAATTCAGGTGTAAATATTCAAACATGTTTCTTGTAATACAAATTCTGTACTAGTAATTTTTAAATTTAAGATGATTTTGTTACACAATTGTGCATTGTTATTTAAATATAATTATGTCATATAATTATTATAAAACTGTTTACCTGTAAATAAATTGATTGCCTGAGATTTGTTACAACTCTAATAATTATAATAAAAGAACCTATTTGAACTTTTAAAAATATTATATTATATGTTGATAGATCACAATTCGTGAATAGTAAATATATACTGAAAATCTTAAATTAAATGCATTGAATAACATGTTCATTTTAATATTGCAATGTAATGGTCAGGTCCGAGATCGGTACGGAATGAATATACGAAAATGATGTAATCATCACTCATGAAATTGTTTTTAATAAATATATGTTTTATGATTATAATGTTGATTCAAAATACATACAACATTTTATTAATTCTAAATACAAAATTGAATTAACGTAAATCAAACTACAAAACTGTTTTTTTAATCAGAATGAGCCTATTGCCCAAGATCAATAAATTATATTGTGCTTAATATTATTTGATTCAGTGCTTGACAACAGTAAGAACTTGCTAAACACAATACCTTAGCATTTAAATTACACTAGGTATCTACAGTATTACTATGTCGCAAATGACAATCTCTTTTATCAAGTCTAGCAAAATATTATAATAATCAAAATATTGAAATAGCAAGTATTCAATATTAACGCAATAGTAATTAATTTTTATTCTAGATATTATTTTATTCAAATTGTTAGTAAGTATTTGCAGATATTATTTTATCCGAAGGTTAGTCTGGAGTTTGAAATAATTATTTAAAATTACTAAGCACACATGTTACCACATGATGCCATTCTACTATAACCTTGTTTGTAGAATTTTGAACAGTAATAATCATGATTCATGATGATCACACAGAATATGCAATCATTCTGTACATTTAATGCTAATCAATGTTTTTTAACTAGTACAAATAACAAACAAAAAAAATTCAAAAAATAAATTATAGAATATCTACTTTATACTTAAATAAAGTAAAAATTTTCAAAATTAAAAGAAATAATTTGTTTTCTTAAATCAAATCAAATCATATTTTATTTAGAGAGTCAAGTATTCACCAATTAGTTAACAAGGTTAGTTACAATAAATTAGGACATATATAAGATTCAAAAATAAAATATTTAGGTAAAAGTACAGCTATACTACTGATTAGAAAAACAGTTATAAATGATTTTGTAATAAAATTGGGATAAAGAAAAAAATTGCCATTATTTTCAATGTTTAAATGATATGCCAATTGAGTGTCGGTTTATTAAAACCCGGATTCAAATGACAAATCACTTTCACTATTATAACTGCAATCAATAACATCAGCTAAGATTAACCAGTGATTTAAGTTTTACGAGCTAAAATGTTGCCAGCCTGTGTGCTATCATGGCCCTTTTACGGCCTAACCTCCATCATTGCATTATATTGGTAAAGCATTATTTTATCATTTACAAAGAAAATTTATTTAATAAATGTAAACGAAAATTATTTTATATGAACTAGGTATTTTACGCGCAATTTTAACTACTTCAAGAAGCGAGGTATCATTGGACCTAGACCGGTGCCAGTTTTAGGAAATCTATGGGACGTAATATTCGTATCCAACCCCGAGCTTGAAGTTCAGCGTTTCAAAAAATATGGTAAAATTTATGGGTAAGTAAATTATTTTTATATTATTCTGTTTTGTCCCATTTTTACCATAATTGATCATTTTTTAGTTTTACCTAATTTATTTTGTAATATTGATTGATCTGCGTGAAAGTCTTATAATCACACACAGAATATCAAGTAATTTAAATAGAGATAGCAATATGATGTGCCATTTTATAGCCACGAGTAAAAATATAAAATACTTTATAGAATTTCATAGTGACCGTCTTCATTTAAATTCAGATATATTTCAATATTCATATACAGTAGTAGTAAATGTCGTACATGTAAAAAATATAGTAGTAGAAAACACCATTGTACTTTTAAAAAATAATAGATGTAGCTAGTGGAGAAAATACAATTCTATATTTACTTGTACATACTTTCTCCTGTTATGTATTTGAATACAAAAAGTATTATAGTGCATGTAATGCCTACAAAACTACATTCCTAAAAATTTTCATTTATTTTAGTTTAGTTAATTCTTATGAAACTAACACTAGAACTTGAACTAGAAAAGTTATAGAACTACAACAGTCTTATTTATATTAAGACTTTTATATTGCTCTCCATAATAAATTAAATATCGAAACACTTCTTAAACAAGCATATTTAAAATTGCATCACTAACACAATGATAAAATGAGACATTGGTGTATATGCCTATTTTAAATTAAAGCTAGACACTATAATAATTTGGCACTAAATCACGAAAAAACAAAATCTCAATTAACATCAAACTTAACATTAAGTAACAATTTAAATGTAACGCTATCTATAGCACAAAAACAAAACACCGACCATGCTCATTGCATAAATTGTACCCCAACTGCACAACAGGGTATTCGAGGGCCAGAAGCCTATACTGCGAATCGGCGAACCGGCGATTGTCAAAGAAATTATCGTCAAAGAGTTCAACACATTTCAGACCCGACGCGACACGTCTAACGCCAAACACCCGATCGTCGACCTCATCGTCACATTGAGGGGCGACGAGTGGCGACGCATGCGCTCCACCGGCAGTCCCACCACTTCCGTCCAGTTGCGCACAATGTATCCGTTGGTCAGCCAATCGGCCAACGAGTTTGTCAACGCATTGGCCAAACGGGTGACGCCCGACGGGGACAACACACTGGACATGAAGGCGTGGTTCGAGTGTTACGCTATGGATGTGTTGGCCGTATGTATATTCGGGGCCAAGACTGGCGCCTACACCGACCCCAACGACCCATTCGTGGTGAACGCGCGCAAGATATTTCGGCCACCTGGGTGGAAAATTGTGGCCACACTAGTGGTGCCCACATTCCTGTTGGACATGTTCAACATCAAGACCGAGACGGACGACACGGCCACCAATTTTTTCTACAAAATAACCCTAAAGTTGTTGAGAGAGAAGGAGGAGCGCTCGCGGGCCGACAATCCGGGCCAAAAAATGTTGTCCGAAAACGAACTCATCTCACAATTGTTTGCCTCAATGAACGGCGGCTTTGAGGCGGCGTCCAGTATAATGGCCTTCTGCGCCCACGAGCTGGCCCTCCATCAGGACCTACAGGAGCGGCTGTACCGCGAAGTGCTAGCGCTGCCACCCCTGGACGCCGCGGGTGAGCCCGACTACGAGCCCATACTAAAACTACCCTATTTGGACGCCGTGGTGGCCGAGACTATGCGCCTGCATTCGCCAGCCCTACGCCCCTCTCGGATCGCCACCAAAGACTTCCGACTGACCGATACGGACATCACTGTCGAGAAGGGACTGATGGTCGAGATCTCGGCCTACGGTATGCACCGGTCGGACGAGTTCTTTCCGCGCGCCGAACAGTTCATTCCCGACCGGTTTTTGCCCGAAAACAGGTCACAAGTGGTGCCGTACTCTTACACCCCGTACGGCGGCGGACCCCGCGGTTGTATTGGCCAACGCTTCTCGCAGATGGTCATGAAGATGGCCATCGCTTATCTGGTCCGACGATTTCAGTTCAGACTCTGCGGCAAAACACAAGTGCCGGTTCCCCTTCGCAAGTATATCCGATTCACTTCGGCCGACGCCGCATACCTGGCCCTCGACCCCCGCCCGTAGTGGTCATACATGGCTTAATATGGGTCCATAGGATGGCTATAATTTACTGATTATTTGTATTTTAGTCAAGTTACTTATGCATTTTAGTTTTGTTTAGCATAGCCAAGATCTAGTTAGATTATAAAATTATTTTAGCTTAGAAATTATTCTTAATTTAATTGTAGTTCTAATACTAATTTTTTAAATTGATAATTTGTAAAATCAGTTTTTACTTTAAGCTAATTTACATTTTTAAAACTTTAAACAAGTAATAAATAATAAATGATGTTATTAACGAATAAGATTTAAGTGTCACCTTAATTGTAATTCTATAGCAATTTGTACAACCGAGACAAATTATTGATAATTCTGGGATATTGCAGTAAATACTATATTTGTAAAATTAAATTTTCCCCGGGACGCGGTATTATTAAAATCGTATAATATTATTTAAGGCATTATACTATTTTAAAACATAATTTATTATCAGCATTATATTTTACAGTATAATTTTTCGATAAAAATTGAATGCTAATAAATAATTTAGTAAATTGATTAAATAAAGTAAAAAATGCAAAAAAAAGTGTACGACACCGGGTATTCCCAGGTGGTCTCCCTCCCAAGTACTAACCCGGCCCAACGCTGCTTAACTTCGGTGATCGAACGAGAACCGGTGCTTTCAGCGTGATATAGCCGTACACATTAATGCACTAGGTTCGTTTGCATATTATAATTTATCAAGGTTGTTACTTGGTTACTGCGCATGGCAAATTGATAGTAATATTAACCTTGATAAATTATGATATGCGAACGAACCTAGTGCATTAATGTGTACGGCCATATCACGCTGAAAGCACCGGTTCTCGTTCGATCACCGAAGTTAAACAGCGTTGGGCCGGGTTAGTACTTGGGAGGGAGACCACCTGGGAATACCCGGTGTCGTACACTTTTTTTTACATTTTTTAAAAACTTTA